ATGGTTGATAGAAGGGAAGAACTGCGATGTCAAAAGCCAGCGCGCTAGTCTGGAGACCCTTAACCCACCCCGCTCGCACGAGATGGGTCAGAATCAATCCAGCATCCTCAGTTGACCTCTGGCAAATGCTGCCAAGTTGGTTGGGATGGAAGATATCATGCTTGACAGCGTCAAACTGTATCCTATTAGCAATCATCTTTTCGATAAGTTTACCGAAAGTGATGAGGAGTACGATCGGCCTGAAGGCCTTCGGTACGGCATAGGAGGGCTTATTCAGTTTCGGGACGATAACCGATAGCGACTCCTTGAATATACGCGGCCAATGACCCACCCGAAGGCAAGCGTTAGCCAGCACAATGAAGAGCGCAAGGACGTGTTTATCCTTAAGCAACTCCTTTAGGTGGACCCACGTAACATGGTCCGGTCCTGGTGCAGAGGAGTTGGAGCACCCCTTAAGGGCACTCAACAACTCATGCTCCGAGAAGTCAGCCCACTCGCGAACTGGCTCATCGGGAAGCTCATCCAAGACTGAAGTGTCGTACTCGCGACCAGAGGCCGAATTGTACATGCCATGAAGGGCGTCCCAGAGGTCGTCCATATCGTGGCAAGGCTGGTCGCCATTGTGAATAGCCTCACAGGGTAGTAGCTTGCGCTGTTTGACCCATTCCATTAGGTCCCACGGGCGCTTGCGAGAAGTAGCGATTTCTGCGATACGTTCATCGAAGAAATTACATTTGGCGTCCTTACACGCCTTCTTAAACTTGTTATAATCAGCGAGCGATCGGCTCAACAGATATACCCCGAATGTCTCTGAGCACTTGTCCGTCCACCAGGACTTGGAGCACTTGGTAGGTTTGGACTCGGTTGAATGGGCAAGCCATGCGTCCGAGAATGCTGTCGCGATAGCATCAGCTAAAGCTTCAAGGCCTTCCTTGGTTGCCAGGGCTGCGACAGGAATAGCCGCAAGATCCTGGAGAATATCCAAAATGAAAGACTTTTCAGCCTCGCTTCCGGGTTTAATTGTCCTTCACCCAGATCCGGGCGGTTCGGGACCAATATCAAGATCTGTGCAGATCGGGACATGATCTGACGGACCCTGGAGATCGTGCTCCAATCTGGGCATTGAGATTAAGATCTCAGATGGAGCTAAGAATACAAGATCCAACACGTTGGATCTCTGGTTTGGATTAGGACTGATTCTCGTCGGTCCATGGTTAGAAGGTTGTGCCCACTCGAGGCTGATCTGAGATGCGGTGTCCCGCAAAGATATTGCTGTCGACGACTCGCCATGCTCATAGTCATCCCAAGTCGTCGACACGCAGTTGAAGTCACCAGCCATATAGATGAAAGGTGGTAGAGAATGCACATGAGCAGCGAGGTGCTCAATGGCTGTGTGTTGATTGTCAGAATAGATGTTCATTAAGTTAAGAACCTCACCCCCACTAAAGAGGGAGAGGACGAGGATGTCGCAATGGTCGATGATGTCGCGACGCATAGCAGGACGATAGCGGGATAGCCATGATCCACTCACAGTCGTAGCAATGGGCCCAGAACTTACACGACGCTGAGTTGGCGGTGTGGTCCTTGTGGCAATTGACACAGTGGCCCTTATGGGGGCAGGGCTGGTCGTGAGGGGTGGGCGGCACAGGGGGTTTCCCTTTCACGTTGCCCTTGCAACATCCCGCATGTTGGCGGTGCTCCTTCTGCTCGTGTGGACCTGAACAGATGGGGCAAGAGAGTTGTTTCGCCTTGCAGGCGACGGTGGGGTGGCCCCACTTCCAGCAGCGCTGGCAGAGCGGGACCCCGGTGTGTCGCGCAGCAGGCCTGATTGCGCAGGACTGCCCAGCGAGGAAGATCGGTTGGCCTAGGGCCTTCTTGGCGTGGGTTCCCTGCTGGGAGTCCCAGATGTTGCAATACACAGTGCATGATGTCGAGTGCACCAAGTTGCAGTCGATCCGAGGCTTGGTGCTCAGATATGCGAAGACCTCAGCATGAACCGAGGTACGGAGGGCCTTTTCAAGCGCCTCCTGGGTGATCTTCAACCCTTTCGGATCGAAGTAGGGAACATCAAGGATCTTTATGAAAGATGTCGACGACGGGAGCGCAACCTCGAACGGAGTACCCGTTGGGAGGCTTTCGCCAATAAAGTTGCACAGTATGTCCAGGTCGGACGGGCTGGCAACGGCGGGGGTGACCAACAACAAACCGTCGTATGCACGGACGATGGAGGTGACCTTAAGCATAGATTGACCATCCCTTAGATACCCGCTGGCTGCACGGACAGCCAACTTGGTGAAGAATTTCGTGAGGTTCGAAAGGACTCGCTATGTCTCTGGCAGAGTGTCCGCCCCAGATGCGGAACTCAATGCCATTTCGTGCGCAGTACGCCTTGCTGTCAAGCAGGCAAACTGCCAGCATATTATGGTCTTTACTGACTCTATGGGCCGAGCCCATAGAGCGGTCGACCCCGAGGTGCACTCTGGTCAGGCTTTTAGCCTGGCAGTTTGTTGCGCTCTCCAAGAGTGGTTCGAGGCAGATGACCTCCGCCGCATCACCTTCGTTTACGTCCCATCTGCTCTGCGGTGGGATATCCATGGTGAGGCACACAAGTACGTCACCGAACTCAAAGTCAGGGTTGGACGTCGCAGGACGGACAACTCTATAGACGCGCTACGCTCTCGAGCGGCGCACTCAGTCCTGGATTCATGGAATTCCACCTTCCAGGATCCAACTTACCGAGGCTCTGAATTCTTAGAGCTCCAACAGCTGGACAGGCGGCTGCTACAGCCATCATACCTCAATGGGGGACCTTGGCTTTCAACCTTTGGACACAGTATCACTGAGTTCGCTCGCGTTTGCCGGTGTATAACTGGCCACGCGCCCATTGGAGCGTATTACCATCGCTTCAAGATCAACGAGCCTCATGGCTGCACTTGTGGGGCTGCTTTGCAGTCTCGCCAGCATATTCTCTTTCGCTGTCACGATCACTACTCCGTGCATTACCCCCGCTTTCTTGGGGATATTGCATCTTTTATGAAGTACAACCCCACGGTGTTTGGCTTCACCTGGGACCCTTCAGGTGTTGGATAATCGCTGCAAGCGGGGTTATTCCTCCTTTTGGAGGATTTATCGGTGAATTGACACCCTCGGACCTTAGGGTCCAGAGACCTGCGCCCGTTTCACTCTTTCGCGCTTGCAACCGCTATCATAGTGGGCTGCGGCGCCGCTAACCCTCTGCGTCTGGTTTCGGGCAGGCGCTTCTCTGGCTTGTCAGCCTTAAGACACCCTGCCACCTCCCGGGTGGTGCTCTCTCATTTCATTTGCGCTGCGTGGCCTCCGAACAGCGTCTGACAGCTCTGGGGTTTAGCGGGGCCTCGATGGTCTCCTGCCCTTATCCCAAGTCACCATTTTCGCGAGGTGGGTCTGGCTTTATGGGAGTTTAGGTGTTTGAGCCATAAGGCTCGTGGTTGGGGGGGCAGACATCTTTTAGTAGTTCACTTAGTACCCAGGCCACGTAGTGTACGTGTTTGTAGATAGCGAGCGGCCTGCCATCAAGCACCGCTATATAAATTGTTGATCAAAAAAAAAAAAAAAAAAAAAAAAAAAAAAAAAAGCAAGGCGCACTGCACACAAGATGGCATTGAGTTCCGCATCAGGGGCGGTGACTCTGCCAGAGACGTAGCAAGTCCTTTCGAGCCCATGATGTCCCTTGTAGATGATGGCAGCCGAAGCCACCTGATACTGGTTGGACTGAGGGACAGAGCCATCAGTTGCAGCCAGTACTGTTAATGGGTCGGCCCTTGCTTTCACGATGAGCTTGTCTAGATATGCGCACCTATCCTGGGTAGGATCACGCTTGTCAAAGCGGAGACAGTCCGCATAGTGGTCCAGTAACCGATCGCCTGGGCAAGCTTCGGGCGCAAAAGGCTCAAAGCTCTCAGTCAAGGTGTGGACATGCTTGTCCACCTCCATAACGGTACTCTTGACTTTCCCTCGCATAGCTGGGGTCATCAAGGCGGCAGAGCGGGCATGAGGTTCAGCCCGCTTGAGGAGTCCTTCACCCATCATGGAGCAAAGAGGGTGGGTGTCCGAGAGGCTGGCAACGCGGTACACTGCACGCTTTTTTTTTTTTTTTTTTTTTTTGATCAACAATTTATATAGTGGTGCTCGATGGCAGGCCGCTCGCTATCTACAAACACGTACACTACATGGCCTGGGTACTAAGTGAACTACTAAAAGATGTCTGCCCCCCCAACCACGAGCCTTATGGCTCAAACACCTAAACTCCCATAAAGCCAGACCCACCTCGCGAAAATGGTGACTTGGGATAAGGGCAGGAGACCATCGAGGCCCCGCTAAACCCCAGAGCTGTCAGACGCTGTTCGGAGGCCACGCAGCGCAAATGAAATGAGAGAGCACCACCCGGGAGGTGGCAGGGTGTCTTAAGGCTGACAAGCCAGAGAAGCGCCTGCCCGAAACCAGACGCAGAGGGTTAGCGGCGCCGCAGCCCACTATGATAGCGGTTGCAAGCGCGAAAGAGTGAAACGGGCGCAGGTCTCTGGACCCTAAGGTCCGAGGGTGTCAATTCACCGATAAATCCTCCAAAAGGAGGAATAACCCCGCTTGCAGCGATTATCCAACACCTGAAGGGTCCCAGGTGAAGCCAAACACCGTGGGGTTGTACTTCATAAAAGATGCAATATCCCCAAGAAAGCGGGGGTAATGCACGGAGTAGTGATCGTGACAGCGAAAGAGAATATGCTGGCGAGACTGCAAAGCAGCCCCACAAGTGCAGCCATGAGGCTCGTTGATCTTGAAGCGATGGTAATACGCTCCAATGGGCGCGTGGCCAGTTATACACCGGCAAACGCGAGCGAACTCAGTGATACTGTGTCCAAAGGTTGAAAGCCAAGGTCCCCCATTGAGGTATGATGGCTGTAGCAGCCGCCTGTCCAGCTGTTGGAGCTCTAAGAATTCAGAGCCTCGGTAAGTTGGATCCTGGAAGGTGGAATTCCATGAATCCAGGACTGAGTGCGCCGCTCGAGAGCGTAGCGCGTCTATAGAGTTGTCCGTCCTGCGACGTCCAACCCTGACTTTGAGTTCGGTGACGTACTTGTGTGCCTCACCATGGATATCCCACCGCAGAGCAGATGGGACGTAAACGAAGGTGATGCGGCGGAGGTCATCTGCCTCGAACCACTCTTGGAGAGCGCAACAAACTGCCAGGCTAAAAGCCTGACCAGAGTGCACCTCGGGGTCGACCGCTCTATGGGCCGAGCCCATAGAGTCAGTAAAGACCATAATATGTTGGCAGTTTGCCTGCTTAACAGCAAGGCGTACTGCGCACGAAATGGCATTGAGTTCCGCGTCTGGGGCAGACACTCTGCCAGAGACATAGCGAGTCCTTTCGAGCTCGCGGTGTCCCTTGTAAATGATGGCAGCCGAAGCCGCCTGATACTGGTTGGACTGAGGGACAGAGCCATCAGTTGCAGCCAGTACTGTTAGAGGGTCAGCCCTCGCTTTCGCAATGAGCTCGTCTAGATATGGGCATCTGTCCTGGACAGGATCACGCTCGTCAAAATGGAGACAGTCCGCATAGCGGTCCAGTAACCGATCGCCTGGGCAAGCTTCAGGCGCAAAAGGCTCGAAGCTCTCAGTTAAGGTGTGGACGCGCTGGTCCACCTCCATGACAGTGCTCTTGACTTTCCCCCTCATAGCTGGGGTCATCAAAGCGGCTGAGTGGGCATGAGGTTCAGCCCGTTTGAGGAGTCCCTCACCCATCATAGAGCGAAGAGGGTGGGTGTCCAAGAGGGTGGTGACGCGGTACACTGCGTGCGTAGCCAGCTTCTTCAGCATGAGATGGACGGTGATGAGACCAGCGAGGGCCTCAAGACCACCTGTAGGTGAGGTGCGGAAAGCACCCGTGATCCATAGAGCAGCTTTTCGCTGCATCCGTTTCAGCTGGTTCATCGCGCCCTTATTGCGGGTGCCATCGAAATACCATAGACGATAGCCATATGTGGCAATGGGAACCACACATGACCGATATAGGAGTCGTCGCTGTTTAGGCGAAAGACCTCTAGTGGAGTTGCCGAGCATGTGCATGGCCTGCACGGTGGTGAACGCCTTGGTGGCATAGTAGTGGATGTGTTCATGAAACGTAAGCCCGCGGTCAAAGTAGAAGCCCAAGTACCTCCAATAGGTCTTGGGCTTCAAAGGAGTGGCGCCGGTATGCAGGGCATACCCCAAATCCAGCAAGGGATTGTAGGCGTCTTGTCGACGTGAAAAGTGAAACAACTCGGTCTTGTCGTGTTCAAGAACGAGTGTGAAAGCAACAAAGAGAAGGTAGATAATCTTGTAAGCCTTATGCAAGCCCACATTGTTATCATCAAGTTGTTTGGATTGGGCCAGAATGGTCCCATCATCCACAAAGGAAAGCAGCATTGTGTTAAGCGGCGCCACCTTGATATAGAAGAGCTTCATCACCGGAGCAATGAAGAGCCCTGAGATAACAGGCGAGAGAGCTGAGCCCTGCCCGACACCCATGTCCGCAGACCGCGAGTCAGATTGGAAGGTGTTCCAGCAGTAAACCGTGGAACGACCAACAAGATAGGAAGCAAAGAACTCCACCAAAACCGGCAAAAACCCTTGCTTACGAAGTACAGCCATGAACATCTCATGGTTGATAGAAGGGAAGAACTGCGTGATGTCAAAAGCCAGCATGCTAGTCTGGAGACCCTTAACCCACCCCGCTCGCACGAGATGGGTCAGAATCAATCCAGCATCCTCAGTGGACCTCTGGCGGATGCCACCAAGTTGGTTGGGATGGAAGATATCATGCTTGACAGCGTCAAACTGTATCCTATTGGCAATCATCTTTTTGATAAGTTTATCGAAAGTGATGAGGAGTACGATCGGCCTGAAAGCCTTTGGCACAGCATAGGAGGGCTTGTTCGGCTTTGGAATGATAATCGACAGTGACTCCTTGAATATACGAGGCCAATGACCCACCCAAAGGCAAGCATTGGCCAACACGATGAAGAGCGCAAGGACGTGTTTGTCCTTGAGCAACTCCTTTAGGTGGACCCATGTAACATGGTCCGGTCCTGGTGCAGAGGAGTTAGAACACCCCTTGAGGGCACTGAACAACTCATGCTCCGAGAAGTCAGCCCACTCGCAGACCGGCTCGTCAGGAAGCTCATCAAAAACAGAGGCATCATACTTGTGACCTGAGGCCGAGTTGTCTGTGCTGTGAAGGGCGTCCCACAGGTCGTCCATATCATGGCAAGGCTGGTCACCATTGCGAATAGCCTCACAGGGTGGTAGCTTGCGCTGTTTGACCCATTCCATCAGGTCCCACGGGCGCTTGCGAGAGGTAGCGATTTCTGCAATGTGTTCATCGAAGAAATCACGCTTGGCATCTTTACACGCCTTCTTAAACTTGTTGTAATCAGCGAGCGAACGGCTCAACTGATACACTCCAAATGTCTCCGAATACTCGTCCATCCACCAGGACTTGGAGCACTTGGTAGGTTTGGACTCGGTTGAATGGGCAAGCCATGCGTCCGAGAACGCTGTCACGATAGCATCAGCTAAAGCTTCAATGCCTTCCTTGGTTGCCGGGGCTGCGACAGGAATAGCTGCAAGATCCCGGAGAATATCCAAAATGAAAGACTTTTCAGCCTCACTTCCGGGTTTAATTGTCCGTCGCCCAGATCTGGGCGGTTCGGGACCAATATCAAGATCTGTGCAGATCGGGACATGATCTGACAGACCCTGGAGATCGTGCTCCAATCTGGGCATCGAGATTAGAATCTCAGATGGAGCTAAGAATACAAGATCCAACACGTTGGATCTCTGGTTTGGATTAGGACTGATCCTCGTCGGTCCATGGTTAGAAGGTCATGCCCACTCGAGGCCGATCTGAGATGCGGTGTCCCGCAAAGATATTGCTGTCGACGACTCGCCATGCTCATAGTCATCCCAAGTCGTCAATATGCAGTTAAAGTCACCAGCCATATAGATGAAAGGTGGTAGAGAATGCACATGAGCAGTGAGGTGCTCGATGGCTGTGTGTTGATCGTCGGAGTAGACATTCATCAGATTAAGAACCTCACCCCCGCTAAAGAGGGAGAGGACGAGGATGTCGCAATGGTCGACGATGTCGCGGTGCATAGCGGGACGATAGCGGGATAGCCTAGTCGAAACATAGGCGATCACGCAGGGAACTTCCCCTTCCTTGATGCGCACCATTTGCAGCCAATCAGGATGCTTTGGTGCGCCGATAACCTCATCACCCTCCATACTAGTGGTGGACGGTGTGTGCCTTATGAAATTCCAAGGGGTTTCTTGGAAAATAAAATATCAAATCTGTTTTTACAAATTTTGAGAAGAGTGTCTATGTGCATAGGTATGACGAATGTTCTGACAGTAAATACGAAGCCCACTACTTAGATCCTGAAGGTTTCCCAACATTAGTCTAGGTTCGGGGGTTAGTAAGTTGGCGGCGAGCAGCGTGCTCACGTACCTGACGATACTCAGCCATGATCCACTCACAGTCGTAGCAATGGGCCCAGAACTTACACGATGCTGAGTTGGCGGCGTGGTCCTTGTGGCAATTGACACAGTGGCCCTTATGGGGGCAGGGCTGGTCGCGAGGGGTGGGCGGCACAGGGGGTTTCCCTTTCATGTTGCCCTTGCAACATCCCGCATGTTGGCGGTGCTCCTTCTGCTCGTGTGGACCTGAACAGATGGGGCAAGAGAGTTGTTTTGCCTTGCAGGCAACAGTGGGGTGGCCCCACTTCCAGCAGCGCTGGCATAGCAGGACCCCGGTGTGTCGCACGGCAGGCCTGATTGCGCAGGACCGCCCAGCGAGGAAGATCAGTTGGCCAAGGGCCTTCTTGGCATGGGTTCCCTGCTGGGAGTCCCAAATGTTGCAATAGACAGTGCACGATGTCAAGTGCGCTGAGTTGCGATCGATCCGAGGCTTGGTGCTCAGATATGCAAAACCTCAGCGTGAACCGAGGTGCAGAGGGCCTTTTCAAGCGCCTCCTGGGTGATCTTCAACCCTTTAGGATTGAAGTAGGGGATGTTGAGGATCTTTATAAAAGACATTGATGATGGGAGCGCAACCTTGAACAGGGTACCCGTCAGGAGGCTTTTGTGGATGAAATTGCGCAGGATGTCCAAATCGGATGGGCTGGGCAACAGCGGGGGTGACCAACGACAAACCGTCATAGGCGCGGACGATGGTGACCTTCAACATAGATCGACCATCCCTGAGATACTCGTGAGGTCAGGAGGGGTACCCCCAAACGACACGAGAACTTGCTTCTGGGTGGGGCCCTCAGAAGTGAAAGAAGGAACGGACCGATGAGGCGAAGCCTTCATCGGGCCCATCAGGAATGCAGGGGGAGGGGAAGGCCCGCGACGTTGCAGTCCCAAGCCAGGAGGCGGAGGAGGCATCGGAGTGGCCTGTCATGCGATCCCTGCCCATGTCGTTGGATGGGGCTTGGGTTTGGTAGCATGGTTGATCGGCAGAGGCAGACCAGGGTGAGAGTAGGCCACCTTGCTCTTCTGAGGAGGAGGAGGTGGTGGTGGTGGGACTGGACGAGCAACACCCTTGCGCTTTTTGGAAGCGGGGATGCAAGACAGGGAGGCCGGGTGACCAGGGTCATCCAAAGCCTGCATGAGGACATCGGGCGGAGCCCCTACGTCAATGACACCCTCACTGAGCGGCCCATGGGCAGCAGGAGGAGGGGGCCTGAATACAGGAGCCGGGTGGATGGTTGGCTCGTCCTTGGAAGACATCTCAGCCTCAAGGAGAGAGGCGAGTGAGAAGTTGTCGAGTTCGCCTGGTCCGCGAATACGACTAAAGTTGGTGGCCATGATGGCGTTCACGAAGGACATCATCTGGGCCACAAAGGCATCGCCCCCATCGATGGAGAGCGGATTGTGGTGCACGGCCCGCAGAACCCAGTCTGTGGCCTTCGCAATGGAGGTGGTCAATACCTCGAGATCGCCAGGAAGATCCTCGACTGTGTCTCGGAACTTCAAGGCGTATTGACCTAGAAAAAGGTCGACGGAGGGGTCCCTCGAGACCTCCTCCCCTCCCTGAGTGCCCTCAATCTCCATCTCCTGGGGGTGGGCCGTCCCTGAGTCAGACTCATCTGCGGATGAATGGGCGGAACCCGTGGTGGAACGGGACCTGCGGCGGGGCGACGTGTGGCGAGATCGAGACGGCACAACGGTCAAGTATGTGGCCCTAGTCGAGGTAGGGTCTGGCGAGATTGGCAAGGCGTCACCGCCAAAAGACGATGTGCCAGCGACCAATGGTGGTATAGCTGGTGGTGTGGAACCCGACCTCTTGGTGGGAGGTCAGACATGTGTTGCTGGTGCAGTACAAACGATCAGGCGATGAGGTCTGACAAGGCGATAAAGCGTTGGACGACGAAAGAGACAATGAGCTGGTTGTTTACACTTGTTGACAAGTGGGTGTTTGAGAGAAAGAGGCTGGGGGGGATGGACACTCCACTCCAGTAGACTCCAGTAGACTCCAGTGAACTCCACTGGAGTCCAGTAGACACTTTTGGCTGGTGTTCCTGCTAATAGATTTCTACCGGACTCCACTGGAGTCCACTGGAGTCCTATAGGGATATGTGGGGGAGTGTAAAGACCTCGACAAAAATACCATGTAAATGAATTTCAGTGATGATTGTGGCAGAACACGGAAGAAAGTCAGGGAATGGTCACAATAGCAAAGAAACGGTCACAATCGTCAAAGAATGTTGATGTTCTTTGATGATCAGCACAGAAAGTTACCTTTTTCAGCAGGATGTTAATGATAATCAAAGAATGTCACCATTTGTTGCTGATCCATTGACAGAGGCCAAAACAAATGAGAATTTGTCTTGACATGGCCTGGCCCATTCTTCTAGTTTCTTCAAGAATCTCTGAGACCCTGAACTGCCTCCATGACGCCACACCATGTGTGGGTTTCATGTGCTGGGCCTATGCTGGCTGCTCTGCTTGCATGCTGACTAACAGTTGGGCCATGGCACGCTGACTAAGTCATTGCTCCCACCCTTCTCATCACTGTTGTGGACAGCAAGCTTGCTGTTCACACCATTTCTGGTCCATTTCCCTCTATTTTTTTTGCTAGTATCAATGTATGTAGTTATTAATGAAGTTATGTAACATATATACTGTTGTAAACCCCCATAAGCTGTATAAAATGCAAAAACAATAATATGAATAACAGTCCCTCATCCATACCCAGCTCTAGGCATATTCCCCAGTCCAGGAAGCATCTGGAGTATTTAATATAGACACATGTATGAATGGGAAGGCCACCATCCAAATTATGGGAGTGGCAGAATATACAGTATCATGGTGAGTAATGTACCTCTCCTCCTACCCCTCTTCCACACACCAATAATACAACTATTACTATGGTTAGTAGCTCAATTTAATGGTCCTACAATAGTGCATTTTAAGGGCCCTCTATTCAAGCCATTTGTGTTTTGAAGGGAGAGGGTATGACCCATGACCCCAAACAGTAGACTTGGTATTGTGGGCCATTGCTTTGCATGGCAATTACAAGTTCATTTTTGTCTCATATCTTTAGCTGTCCTATTTATTCTTTTATTAATTCTTCTGCACTCTAAGCAATGGGGCAAGTTTGATATTCTGACTGAGGAATCAACTACTGTACATGGGTATTTATGCCATGTAGAATAGCATACTATGATTATGTAATAGATAACTCAGCCAAGACAATAAGAACAATAGAGAACAATAGAACAATGGCTTGGAGGCACAATGAGGTGAGCTAGAGACATGGCACATGTCAAAAGCATTCTGGAAGCTCAGAGCTCATTCCTGGATGTCTAAGAAGCATCTGAAAGTGCACAGCTCAATACCATGAGCCTTGGAAGCCAGATAACAGCCTTGGAAGTTGCATAATTGAGCCAGGAGCAGGGGATGGGTTGTGACAAATGCTGGCATATTTCAATTATTTCTGGGCCATTTTAATTTTAATTTAAAAATATCATAAGTCATGAAATATTCATAACTCTCAGTAGAGGTCTTGAACATGGGAAAATTCCAGGATTTGGTAGATCTACAGTCAAATTAATGCTGCACACCCCTAAAAATATGAAAATGTGGCTTCACTGGCCTCTCTCCCAGACATCCCCTAGCTGAAACAAAGGAGTCATAATGTTCAGTTATATTGGTCCCAAAATATCAGTATCATGCACAGAATTGTGTGCACAATTGACTAAATAGTGCTGATTTCTAAAAATAGCTGAAAATGTGCACTCAAATCTCTACCCCTGGCAAGGACCAGAGCACTGGAACACCTTGGCAGCATTATGTAGGATACAGAGGGTTATTAGAGAATGTAGAGTCCATAGATGTACATTCATTATTCATGGCTGCATATTTAAATTACTGGTTTGCACCAAAAAAACCCAAAAATGCACATATTGCAATATCTTGGCACTCGGAGTATTGACAGACCTGAAAGTCAGTACAGATGTATATCTAATATGGTTGATAATAGCCTCAAGTTTATAGACCTGTAGCATCAGTTGCTGTTGAGATATAGAGGTGCAGGTTTGTTGCATTAAAACAATGTGCATATTGCAATATCTTGGCATCCAGAAGATCAACAGACCTGAAATTTTGTGCACAAGTAGATATCATATGGTTGATGGTAGCCTTCAAGTTATAGACTGATGGTATCAGTAGGTGTTGAGATATAGAGGTGTGGGTTTTTAGCATTAAAACAATGCGCATATCGCAATATCTTGGCATCAAGAACATCAACAGACCTGAAACTTTGTACACAAGTAGATATAATATAGGTGATGTTGGCCCCAAATTTATAGACCTGTAGCATAAGTTGGTGTTGAGATATGCAGGTGCGGGTTTTCTGCATTTAAAACATGCAATATCTCATGCCACAACACCCCTGAAGATCTGAAATCTCTTATGTAAGCTTCTCTGAACATTGCCTCATGGTGGATAAAATTTCAGAGCTGTAGCTGCAGCCATTGCAGAGATATAGAGACACTGTTTCTGTAGTAGAAGGACATGTGACTTGCTAGGTCATGTGAGCAGAGTTTGACAGCTATGAGACACGAAAACTCTCCAGGAGTTTTCGTGCGTCATATGTTTGGCTAAACAAACAAACCCACCACAGCCGCTCGCCTCATCTTGCAAATTCCATATCTCTGTCAATTCTTATTCAATTCTCATGAAATAACTTGTGTAATTAATGTGAAATACAGGAGAAAAATACGGTACCTGTAGAGTATGTGAATACTATTTCATTTGTAGACAGTAACATTCCTATAGAGGTAAGTGATCAGGTGACTTGTGCTGGCCATAATTGTGTGCTACATCATTGCTTTCTTTCCTCTGCTGCTACTATCACCATTCCTCCTCTCCCTCTTCTACTATAGATACCTACACCATGCACCTGTGCCTTCCAATGAGGGTTAGAGCATATTTTGAAGGGCTGAATAGAGGGGGAGGAAAACAAAGGGAGACCCGAGTAGCTGGAGACCCGAGTAGCTGGAGACTGAACACCCAACACAGTGAGTGACTGGCTACCTCTTCTTCCACTCTTCCTTGCTCACCTGCTAGTTCTCTGTTGCATTACACAAGTTGATAATAGGCCCCATGTCTTGATGCTGGCCTGCTGATTCAACATCAGCCACAGTAACTGTAAGCCACTCCCTCATGGCTCAATGTCAGTCCTCCACAACTCAATATCAGCTCCAACAACTCAATGACCGCCTCCACAGATCAATGTCAGGTCCAACATCTCCATGGCCATGCCCTCCAATGAGGGTTATAGAAGAGCTGGATGGAGAGAAGGACCACAAGGGAGACCCAAGCAGTGGGAGACCCAGCATAGTGTGTTACTGACCTTAATCCCTCCTTCCATTACTTACTCCACCCCACCAGTTCATCATCATGTTGTGCAACTTGATGACAGCCTCCACAAGTCAACAACAACCACCTCTGTGACTCGACAACAGTGTTCTCTCATTCATACTCATGACTTGCCTTTGCTTCCTGGAACATGTATTTCACATAATTATTCTCAATATATCTATTCTATTTCATGATGTTCTGAAAGTGAACTTTTTTAGAGGATGAGAGCTTCAGCATCATTCGCTGTCATCGGGGCTCTTCAGGGGCTGTTTGGATGGGCAAGAGGCATCAGAGGGGCAAGAAGAGAGGGGTGGTGGTGGCAGAAGGCGAGAGGGAGGGGAAAGGGTGAGAAGAGGCAGGTGGAGCACAGAATGACCACAAATGCTGCCGAACCTCTGTGTTTGGCATCATTTGTTGTCATTGGGGCTCTTCAGGAGCTATTTAGATAGGCAAGGGGCATCGGAGGGGCAAGAAGAGGGGGGGTAGTGGCGGAAGACAAGAGGTGGATGGTGCTGGGTGGGCAGGCAGGTAGGGCAGGTGGGCAGGGCACAGAACAAGCACGAACACTGCCAAACCTCCCTGTTTGGCATCGTTCATTGTCTTTGGAGGCCATTGGGGCAGGCGAGGAGCGTTGGAGGGGCGAGAGGAGGAGGTGGTGGTGGCGGAAGTCGAGAGGGAGGGGGAAGGGTGAGAAGAGGTGGGTGGAGCACAGAACGACCATGAACACTGCTGAATGTCCAAGTTCAGTGTCGTTCATTGTCCTGGGTGGCCATTTGGGTGGGCAAGGGGCATTAGAAGGGTGAGAAGGAGAAGTGGTGGGGGTGGAAGGTGAGAGGCAGGCAGTGCTGGATGGGCAGGTGAGTGGGGCACAGAATGAGCACAAACAATGCTGAACCTCTGTGTTTGGCATTGTTCAGCATCCTTGAGGGCTGTTTGGATGGGTGACAGGTGTCGGAGGGGCAAGAAGAGGGGGTGGTGGTGGTGGAAGTTGAGAGTGAGGGGGGAAGGGTGAGAAGGGGTGCATTGGTTCACTGTCATTCTTTGTTCTTGAGGCCTGTTGGGAGGGGCGAGAGGCAGAGGGTGAGGAGGGCAAGCAGATGGTTGTGGGGCGAGAGGGGCAGGCAGCGGTGGCTGAACAAGCATGAATGGTGCTGAACTGTGAAGTCCAGGATCATTTGGGCACCAGGGCTGTTGTTGGATAGTGCTGGAGGTTATGTTGGAAGGGCGAGAGAGGGCTGCAGTGAGCAAGGGAGGTTGGTGATTTTGATTTTGCAGAAGGCAAGAAGAGTATTACTACAATAGCCAGTAAAAATGTAGTAAACTATTGAAAATGTAGCTATGCCATCAATGTAATACTTACTGTGGGAAAAAAAGCATGGATGACTATAATGTGGGAAAGTAAAATGATCTCTGCATCCCAGGTTGAAAGAACGAGTCTTACTTATGTAAGAACTCATAATATTTTATTAAAGAACCATACATGCATTTATGGCCAATTTGACTCAGTAGATACTTAATAGTATTATGCTTTAGTATATATATGTATTTAAATATAGAGTGCCACACATATGGGCAAAGATATGAGGAGGGGGAGGAGGAGCACATGCCTCATCAGTCACCATGTCCTCCTGTCATGAATAATGCATATTGCATGCTCTAGGTAGACTCTACAGGTGTGTAATATGTATACCTTGATATTTTAGTAGTCACAGTTAGAAAATAGACACTTGGATGAGATGGTATTAAAGCAAGGAGGATATCTGTATAAAAAGCATGAAAATTGTCCACTGTCACATAAATACATCAAGTAAAAATAATATATATACTTAGGCATGTACTCATACATTCTAAGAGCCAGCTGAAAAAGAGTTTCAAAATTAGAGCAAGATTGAGGTGAGATATGGATGAGACAGTGAATCTTGAAGGGCAGAAACTCGGTCACTACATGTGACTGTAATTTGCATCTTACTATCAGTTGGTGACTTTCCGCCCCATGCACGTGATGTCTTTACATTATATAATCAAACGGAGGTGCAAGCCGAACTCAAGCCATCTATGGCCAGTCAGCCACAGGCTACAGGCCAAGCCACTCCTTCGCATGTCAATTTGAAGAAAAGTTCGAAGGTGTTTGGTTACAGCAATATGTAGTAGACAACTGAAGTACCTGAACACAAACGTGCAGACAGCTCTGAGTCTCCGAGTCGTAGTTGCATCTTAGCCAAGCCTTAATGGCCTCAATGGCCTCATTTGTTCCCTTGCACTAAAATGACGATGAATGCAAAGTTGAGGGGGTTCCTCATGCTTAGTGGTGTCAATGGAAGGTGGTGTCAATGGAAGTCTGGAAGGTTGACAGCCTCAGGATCGAAGTTCTCGGACCCCCCCCCTACATTGACAACACGAGAAGACTTCAGTGGTGGAGTGACAATGTTTGGGACAGGAGCAAGAGCAAGCCAAGGGATGGAATTTCCAACAGTAGGAATTGAAACAAGAGGGAGTGTCATGAATCCCAGGCTCAAAATGGGAACTGGTGGAGGGTGGGTAATTGAGGAAGATAGAGGTGGTAGTGCCAGACCAGACATGAGCTTGGAGGCAATATTTCAAAGCTAGCGAGGGGAATAAAAATCAGGGATAGCGAGATGATGGAAGGGAGGATTGAAAGACGATGTGAGTGGCATATTTCCCTTTTTTTTCGAGGCCACAATCTACCAAGCAAGGCAACTATGGGCCAGCGAGCCGAAAACATGCTGAGCAGAGTTGGTTGCTTGAGCATTACATAAGAATTGGTGGATCACATGCATGGGGCGGAAAGTCAAAACCTCTTACTATCTACCCTTCTTTGGGAGTTTCTTTGCCATATCTCACCTCAATCTTGCTCTAATTTTGAAAACTCTTTTTCAGCTGGCTCTTAGAATGTATGAGTACATGCCTAAGTATATATATTATTTTTACTTGATGTATTTATGTGACAGTGGACAATTTTCATGCTTTTTATACAGATATCCTCCTTGCTTTAATACCATCTCATCCAAGTGTCTATTTTCTAACTGTGACTACTAAAATATCAAGGTATACATATTACACACCTGTAGAGTCTACCTAGAGCATGCAATATGCATTATTCATGACAGGAGGACATGGTGACTGATGAGGCATGTGCTCCTCCTCCCCCTCCTCATATCTTTGCCCATATGTGTGGCACTCTATATTTAAATACATATATACACTAAAGCATAATACTATTAAGTATCTACTGAGTCAAATTGGCCATAAATGCATGTATGGTTCTTTAATAAAATATCTACTGTTTGGGGTCATGGGTCATACCCTCTCCCTTCAAAACACAAATGGCTTGAATAGAGGGCCCTTAAAATGCACTATTGTAGGACCATTAAATTGAGCTACTAACCATAGTAATAGTTGTATTATTGGTGTGTGGAAGAGGGGTAGGAGGAGAGGTACATTACTCACCATGATACTGTATATTCTGCCACTCCCATAATTTGGATGGTGGCCTTCCCATTCATACATGTGTCTATATTAAATACTCCAGATGCTTCCTGGACTGGGGAATATGCCTAGAGCTGGGTATGGATGAGGGACTGTTATTCATATTATTGTTTTTGCATTTTATACAGCTTATGGGGGTTTACAACAGTATATATGTTACATAACTTCATTAATAACTACATACATTGATACTAGCAAAAAAAATGGAGGGAAATGGACCAGAAATGGTGTGAACAGCAAGCTTGCTGTCCACAACAGTGATGAGAAGGGTGGGAGCAATGACTTAGTCAGTGTGCCATGGCCCAACTGTTAGTCAGCATGCAAGCAGAGCAGCCAGCATAGGCCCAGCACATGAGTTGAGTGTGCCAAGCCCCTCACGAAGTCCTGGGGTCTGATACATTCCTGAAGAAAAAGATGAAGATTCTTGAAGATTCTGGCCAGATGTCAAAGAAAGAATGAGAGGCTCACAGTGAAAATGGTAACAGAAAGTTGAAGAAACCTACTGTATTGATCTGTGCCAAACGTCAAAGATCAGGGTATTTCAGTGGAAATCTTTGACAAAAGTCAAAGAACATCAACAAAAGTTGACGATTGTCAACAAACATTGACAATCTGGGACTTTTGGGTAACATATTCATTGCAGGGGTGGTATTTGCATGGTAAGCCCTATTTTTGTCCATGGTGGACCATTATAGAGGGTGTCATAATGAAGCAGAAAGAGTTTGAAAGGGTTGGTGAGAACCCAGAAGTCTGCATTGTCAATTTTGAAGGAAGGAGCAGAGGACACTGCACTTGGAAGAATCTAGGTGATTGAGAGGTAAGAAGAAGGTCAGGCAAAAGTAAATAAAATTTGCAGACAAAATAGCATATTCTTTGAGTTTCACCAGTGGCTCTGACTCCCAAGTGCTCTCCTCTTCTCTGGATTGAACACTAGCCAAAGCTTCCAAGTCTTGAGCCTTTAGATGTGTAGAGAAAAAAATCAATGCTGGTAGTTTGATCCATGAGTCCTGAGACTCAAAGCTGAGGTGTTGGAGGTGTTTCTCATCTGTCAAGCATGAGGGAAATACCTAAGAACTTCTGTGTAAGCTGCATTCCAAGGATTCTTATGTATTGGGAAAACATACAAAGACTCAATAATCTTGTAGCTGTCAAAAAGTGGGTGACATCTCACCTCCACAAGCCAGTTCTGTAGGGGAAAAGTGGTGGTTGAAGATAGAAACATTGAATTTTGAAGCCGCAATCCACTAGTAGCATCAAGCAGTTGCTCAATTAGGCAGTGGGCCACATTTGCCATGCCAAGCCTAACATCCACATGGGTGCATGCTTATATAGTTGGTCACACTCAAGGGGCCATGACCTGATGCATAGACAGAAATCTTATCCCACAAAGAAAGGTTTCAGAGGTCCAATAACATTACACTAACTTATACTATACTCACCCCCACCCCACCCAGGAACATTGTTTAGTCATTTATTTACCTCCTCCCACCCCCAAACAAATCACTATAGCCCTCAGAAAACCTGACTGCTTAATTACAGTCCTGATCTATGGGTTCACACTGGTTAAACATAGGGTTTGATATAGAATTATAGCTGACATGGCTGTGTATCAAAGAAAGTCACATTTGAAGAAGATATTTTGCAGCTGAAGCAAAGCAAGGCCCATCCATGACTTGTAGACAATAAGGAGTACCACATACCATTATTAGTAATGGTTGTTGTGATGCCAAGATGAGCAAGCCAAATTCTAAATCCATAAAACCATAGTTATATACCATATCATAACATAAGTATTGTAACAGTAATATCACTAGATACCTTCCAGAGTATCATCCATTCAATTCATAGTACAAGAACTCATCCATTTGATCAACATTCAAACCCCAGCTCAATCTCAAAACTTCCACCTCGGCCTTGTATCAGGTGCCCCAGCCTTCCACGCTCTCCTTGCCTCACTCACCCCCTTGCCCCTTCCACCCCCCTTCCCCTTCTGCTCCTGCTCCTGCTCCCTCTCCATCTCCTCAAACCCCTTGATCAAATCCCTCACACTACTCCCACTGCTCCTCCTCCCCCTCTCCCCCCTCTTCTCCTTCTCCAACACATTAACAGTCTTATCCAACACCTCCTGCGGCACCGGCACCAACTCCACCAGCCTCCTCGGCGGGTCCCTCCTCCCCTTGCCCACTTTTGGTTGGGGCAAGGGCACGTTGTGCAGGTTGACGAGCTCTTTCGGTACAGGGCCCCGTGCGGGCGCTGGCTTGGCGGGTGTCTGTACGGGCTTGCGCGGTTTGGTGAGGAGGGAGGGCGGGGGTGGGGGGAGGGGCAGCCCGCGTTGCTGTTTGACGGGCTTGAGGGACTTGGATTTGGCGGCGAGGGTGGATGTGGATAGCGTGGGGAGGTAGGAGAAGAGGAAGCCTTTGACGCGGGTGCTGATCGTCGAGGGTCGCGGTTGGGCGGGCTGCGTCGACCGTAGTTGAGTATGAAGGGTAGGTTCGTCGTCGTCTTCCTCGTCAGGGTGTTGGTCGTCGTTGCTGTCGTCGAAGGAGGCGGAAGCGTCTTGGCTCGTATCGTCGCCCTCGCCCTCGATAGAGCTCCGCGACATATCCCCATCCCCATCCACCACCTCCTCTTCCTGCTCCTGCTCCCTCTCCTCCCTCTCCTCCCTCTCCTTCCCCCCACCCACACCTAACCCCCTACCACTAACCGCCCTCGCCTCCTCCAACAAATGCGAGTATCTCGGGGCCAACAAACTGCCCGGCAGTCTCTTCCTCCTCCTCGGCCCATTGTCTTCATCTTGTTCATCATCATCTTCGGGTCCAAGGTTCTGGAACGGGCCGTCGTTGGAAGGAGGCGGCGGTACAGGACGCGAACTAGACCCAGGACCAGAACCAGAACCACTGGGTCCGAGGAGCGAGCGGCGCGGGGGCGGCGGGGCACGGTTCCTGTTGAGCGCACCTAAGCTCGTATTGCCCGAGTTGTTCGTACCCGACCTGGCGTTGGACGCATTGGACACCTCCAAACCCCGCGCCTGAGCTTGAGCCTGAGCCTGAAGGTGAGCCTGAGCTACAGGCTTCAACTGACGCAGCCCCTGCAGCGGCGTGAAGTCCGGCACCTCCATCGCGGTCCTCCCACCCCGGCACTGACGGCGACGCAAACGCAAACGACCCAGCGACAAACGACCCAGAAGCCCGCGTCGCAACCGATGTAAACAACCCAGGCGTCGTCGGCGGCGCGACCTTCCCCCCACGCTGTTTCTTCTTGAGCGCCTCTGCCCTCTGCAGCAGACTTTCCCTATTCCACACACACAAGCAGTATCATCAGCACCCATCCTACCCACACAAAGCACGAAACCAAGGAAAAAACACACCTATCCCACTCGTCCCCAAACGTCCCCACCTTCTCCCACCCACCACAAATCTCGACGAACCGCTGTACTACATGGTCCACATCCACACTTTCCACATTCGCGAGGGAGCCGTCCGTGCCGAGCTCGAGCCGCTGGTCGGTAAAGCACGCGTCGAGGAGCTTCCAGGCGTCTTTCGTCCATGGTCTTGGGCCGTCTCCTCCTTCGCTGTCGACTGCCAGTGGCAGAAGGGATGGGAAGGTTGTGGTTGTAGAGAGGGACGAGAGGCGCCGCTCGAAGTCGAAGGCATTTGCGTTAGCACTCTTCGACCGGGCAGGAACTGGCGTCTCGAACACCTGGCTCCCATCCTCCCTCTCCCTTCTCTCCCTCCACACCTGCGCCTGCGCCTCCTGCTGCCCATGCCCATATCCCTTCTCGACAACATCCTTCTCGACCTGCTCCAGAAGCTCCGGCAGCGTCACCACCGGCGACCCAGGTATATACACCCTCTCTCCAATAACGCCCATCGATCTCCTGCTTCGGGCCTGTGCGCCATTCTTGGTCTTGGTCTTGGAGACACCATGGGCAGCGAGCGACTTCCTCCTGTTGTCCCGCGCGATGTCGTCCAGCGAGACACGGCGCCGCTTGACGAGTTTGGTACAGCATTCGTAGTCGTGCTTTATGAGAAATTTAAGGAAAGGGAACGCGTCAGCTACGGGTAGAGAATGAGATGGGTAAGGAAATTACCTGTTTGAGGATGGCGACTGCACGAGCTGCTGCTCGGGGGTCCGCACTGGTGATCTTGACGAGGCCAGGGTCGTCGTCGCCATCGCTGCTCTCCTCGTCGTCCTCCGGGGACGCGTCGACCGCCTCTGGTACCTGCACAATTTCAGGGACTTCTTGCTGCACTTGAACTTGTTCGGGTTCGGGCTCCGGCTCCGGCTCGACAGACATACGGCGGACCTCTTCCTCTTCCCTCGCTTCCTCCTCGTGGTGTTGCTGGACATGGACCTCCGGCTCGACGGACATCCTCCTCACCTCCTCCTCTTCCTGCTCTTCCTCACCAACCAGCGGCATAGCCCTCTGATACGGGAACGGGCTAATCGGCCTGCCCCAATCCTCCATCCTACAACGCGTCGCACTGCTCGGCGGGTCCTGCTTCGTTGGGACCTTGAGCGTGCGCCAATGGCCCGTATACTCGCCCTCGCCCTCGGACTCGAGCGCGCCGCCCTTGGGCACATTCTCAGCACCCTCGTCGTCGTCCGAGTCGCTCCAGCCCCCGCCCGTGTCGCCCAGTGGGAAGTCGAACAAGCGGACAGGCTCAACCTCGGCGTCCGCGGGGTCGTCGAGCATCATGCTGCTGTCGATCGACGTGTCTGCTGCTTCTCTGTGCCAGTCGAACGCGTCAACGGCCTCGGCGTCATCGGTATCGAGCGGGGGTTCCGGCGAGGACGGCGGGAGGTCTGGCGCTTCCATCTGGACTTGCACCTCGACACTCCTGCGCTGCACCACCACTTCCTCCTCTTCTTGCTCAAGCACGGCGCCCGGCTCCGGCTCCGGCGGGCCACTGAGGAGGAGCGGGTCGTCCGTCGGGCTGGCCGGGGGCATCGGCGCGCTGAGGTCGATGTCGTCCGGGATCTCCTGCTTGACCTGCGTCTGCATAATGAGCGTGTTCACCCGGAGCCCCTTGCCCTTCTTCTTCGAGCTCGCAGCAGCAGCCGTCGACTTCCTGCTCGACCGCGGAGGTGCACTGATGGGGCTGATGAACACCTCGCGCGGGGGCGTGAACACGTCCGTTGGCGGCTCGTACGGCGGAATCGGCGTTGCGCTCCTCCGCGACCCCCGCGAACTGAGCACGGCGCGTCGGACGCTCGGGTTCTTCAGCTTCAGGCTGCCCAGGGGGTCCTCTTCCTCCTGCTGGTCCTCCTCGACAGCGACAGGCAGGACGGGTTCTTCACGTGCGGCGACTGCACCACCACGCGCTTCGACTTGAGCTTCGCGTTCTTCGTGGGCGTCGTCGGTGCCTTCTTTTCTGCCGCCCGCTCCGCGAGTGTCCGCGGACTGCCCTGCGCCCGCGCCTTGTCCATCCCCATCGGGCTCCTCCGCACCATCTCTCCACTCGCAAACGACCCCTTTGTCGGCGACCCCGCCATCGACGGCACACGCGCCAGCCGTCCCTGCTTGCGCGGCTTCGGGTTCGGCGTCGCCTCCACCGGCTCGTGCTGCTCGTGCTCCTCTTGGTACTGTTGCTGTTGTTCATAGTCGTGCCCTCCGTCAATCGTCATCGACGCGTCCTCTTCCTCTTCCTCTTCAGGGCTCGTGCTGCCCTTGCTGCTCCGCGAGCTGGACGGCGTAATAGTGAAGGCAGCAGATGCCGACGCTGCCTGTGGTCGCTTGCGCTTGCTCGACCCCGAGCCTGTGTTACTCGCGTTCGCATTTCTATTCACCACATTCGAGTTGCTGGCATCCGCATTGTTCGCGGTCGTGTTCAGCCGTAAGGTGGTCAGAGCCGCACCAGGCGACCGACCCGAGGTGGTCAAAGTGTTCGGCGCGTAGGGATAGACGTTCGTCGTGCTCTCTCGTCTCTGTAAAGTAAACCGTAGTCAGTCAGGGTGTCCAATCGAACGTACTTAGATCCAGACCGCAACCAGAAAAAAAAATGGGGATGGGGGTGGCACGACCCACGCCTCGGCTGGCCACTCGCCCAGAG